ATAGCTTTATATATTAGATAAAATTAATTTACTATATTTAAATTATTATTATATATTTAATCTATTGGTCCATTGGTCCATTAGGATTGTAATTTTTCAATGGATCCAATGGGTCTAGTCAATGGACCAGAAGTCCATTGGTACCAATGAACAAATGTGCCAACCCTGTATACTACCCATATTTTTCAGCCGGTCGAAATTCTATTTTCAAAACTTAAAAAAGAATATAATGAAGGTTGTGATAACTTTCATAATATTAATGGCGAAATAGTAACAAAATACTCTTTTGCTAGGATACTTGGACCGGCATATATCAAAGCTTTTACACCTGAAGCAATTATGAATTTTTTTAAAACTACAGGAATCTGGCCTCTCAACCCTAATGCTATTAGCACTGATTGTCTAAATCCCTCACTATTAATTAAAAAACCTGATCTTTTATCTAAACAAACTTTGATATCACCTTTATTACTATCAACTTCAGTCTCTTTATCATCATTGTCATTATCTTCATTATCTTCATCTTTTTTATCTTCATTTTCTTTATCTTTATCTTCTTTATCTTTATTTTTATCTTCATTATCATTATTTTCATTACTATTGTCTTCACTATCATTGTTTTCATCATCATTATTACTGTTATCCTCATTATTATCATCTTCATTAGACAATATACCTTTTCAATTGAACTATACATATTTAATCCATGCCAATAATTTTAGTGAAATAGAATCTTTAAAAACAAAAAATAAACACCTTAAAAAAGAAATTAAACAATTAGAGGAAATAAAACAAAATTATATTGCAATACAAGAAGAGTTAAAAATATTTAAAAAATCCGGTACTTTTCTATTAAAGCTAATACTGAAATATTCTGCTCCATGCTTGTCATTTGCTAATGAGAGTGAAACTGGGGAAACTTCACAACAACCAAAAAAAAGAAAAACATTACTATTCGCCCGACTTCTTACTAATGATGAATCATTAAAAGCACTGAAAAAAGTAGACAAATTAGCAAAAAAGAAAGTTGACAACACTAAAAGAAAAAAAGAAGTGGCTGCTCAAAAAAGAGAAGAACCTAAAAAAAAAAAAGAAATGGCTATTCAAAAAAGAGCTAAGAGTGAATTAAAAAAGATACAAAAACAAGCAACAAATAAAGGAACTAAAAAAAAAAAAGATGTCTGAAAATATTACCATTATTATAACATTTGATTATATTTGTATGATAGTTTTGCTGATTTTTTGTATGATATTGGGTAACATTAGATTGAATTATCACTAGTGATAATCCACCACATTACTCTCCAAATATAAAATTATAATTTCTTTGATAGTTTTAAAATAGTAGAAAAATTACTAGCAAAATTCTTCTTTTTTTATGATTAATTTAAAGTACATTGGATAGAGTATAAGTTTTATAAATTTTATAAATAATGACTTTTTTTAAAAAACTTTTATTAATAACTATTTTTCTCTGCGCCATTATACTCCAGTTACTTTAAGTATTAATTTTTTTTTTTTTTTTTTTTTAAATTCAGCAGTCATGCTTTAACTTTATTAGGCTTTGTATGAATCCTCCAGACTTGTAAAATTTTACACTAAGTTGCATTTTAGAAGATAAGTGATAAACCCTTAACTTGTCGGCAGATAGCGTATGAGAACTATTTCTAAATGACAAGCACCATAGCATTAAACCTAATATTACCTAAATTACAAGTTAAAACTAACCCGGTTACCCTAATTGGTATCTATGCTCGACCTGCTATAGCAAGATTTCCTTCCTTCCGGACCCCTCCTGCAATTGGATATGACCTGGCTCTCAACAGTGGACCTTGCCGCCCATCATGACTACCTCCTCTTCTTTCAGACTTCTTCCACCTAAGCTCGACAACAAAATTAAAACCCTTATTCATATATAAAAGTGAAAAAAATAATGTTATGTTTATGAGAGATATAAATATTTTAGAAAAAAAACACCTCATGGTAGAAAAAAAAAACTTTCAACAAATTCTAAAATAGTCTACTATAAAAAAACAAAGATGAAAAAAGCAAAAAAAAAGAAAGTAGCCATGACACACTATTATAGCCCATGCTAGGCGTAAAGATAAAAATTATATAATAATTGCAACTAATTACTATATCTCGATTGTAAATCTTCGGTTTAGCTTTGGGACTCGTTCCGGACACTGACTCGACTCAGGTATCTCCTAAACAGAGTGGCGATCTCTTCAATGTACCGTAACACCGTATCAATAAATAAAACAAACATGTGGTTGCATTTTACTGAGTTGTCCGAATTAGGTAGGTGTAAACAATGCCGATTTTTTGGAGGGGGTAAGCTAAAATGCCTACTTTTTTGTCGAAATTTTTGGTAAGAATAGCAAAAAGCGAAAAATACAAAGAAGACCACTAGCACATATTCAAAAGAGTATGAGTTCTAAAGACATCAACAGGTGTTCTACAAGTTTGCACAGTACTAAGTTTTTTCGGTGAGTGATAAACTCTGGGCTTGTTGGCAGATAGCGTAAGAACTATTTCTAAACGACAAGTGCTATACTGCTGTAAGTAATAAACTCTGAGCTTGTTGGCAAGTAGCGTATAAGAACTACATCTAAACGACAAGTGCGGTTCTTCTTATGCCCTTTTTCTACATCTTACTTTTTTCTTGCAGTACGTTACTGTTTTTTAGTCAAAAAGTTTTTCAGAAAAATATGGTCCAGATGATCATTAAAAAGAGTTCGAGTGTTTTTTGAATGAAGTGTTAAATTATCGTTATAAATTAGAATTTTATAATTTAAATATTTTTTTTGTTTAATAATTTTAAATTTTTTTGCTTCAGAATTTATTTTCTATTAACCAATCAAATTTTGTAACGTAACAAATAATCTACAAAAAATTATCCAATTAGAATAAAAGCCTGCTTTACTGACCTCTGACAGGGCTCTACTGTATATGTCTTGACGTTACAAAAAAGCTCATGTGCTTGTAACATTTTGTGGCTCATATCAGGTATATGGAGTACTAACTTATACTGACTTAGTCATAGTGAATAGAAACGGCAATTACGTGATTTTTACCCAATCAGATTGTAAGATCAGGTGTAATGTAAAAATCAAAACAAATCAAAACAACAAAATAAAATAAAATATTAAAACAGACATTCAACTCTTTCTGACAATCACCTGTACCAAAATTTTGAAGAGAAGAAACCTACTTTTAAGGTACAAAAGCATTAAGTAGTATAGCTTCAGGTCATATTAAAAAAGATAGAGCATAGAAAGATATACTAGTGTACCAAGTTTGAAAGAAAACAAACAACAAGAAAGCACTTTAGCTTTAGGCTTCTGTATATTTGGCAGATAGTTTTTGAAAATTTGTGGAATTGCTCTAGACCCTATAATATAGATCACTACATATAATAGTAAACAAAGTACACATAAACAGGTAAACGAATAAACAAACAAGTATATCACTATTTGTAGATAGATACAGGGGATACAAGATAGTATAAAAAAACAACTTAGTTACGTAAACTATGTTGGCATGCACGTGACAAACAAATATCAATTACCATTCTTTGAAATAGAATAGGAGCAAAAAATAAAAATATACAAAAACCTTTTTGTAAAGTCCCCAGAGGAATTTAATGCAGTTAAGGATAAACATAAAAACAAAGTTCTAAAAAAAGACAGAGAGGTAGCTAAAATGGCAGGAACAGAACCACAGCTAATATGCCTCTTTAGAAATATAATTGAGCTATATGACTAGTTAGAGTTTCTTAAAGTTAGAAATGCTGACAAAAACCAAACAATAAAGCCTAAAGAGGTATTTAGAATAAAAGAAGTTCTAAATAATCAAGAATGTGGCTGTATAGACTATAGAGTCTTAGAGAAATTAAACATAAATAAATACAAGCCAGCGCATAAACAAATAGAGACAAGTTTAACTTCCTAAGAAAAAGTAGCAAAAGAAAAGTCAGCAATAATTGAAGAGCTTCTAAATGAAACCAAAGAACTTTCTATGCTCAGAAATGAAAAAACAAATTTTAATCAAGAAAATGAGCAATTACTATCGGAAGGAAAAAAAGAAGAAGAGACAAGATATATGCAGAATTCTATAATAGTACAAAAAAAGGTGTTTCCACAAGAATGTTTTATATTATAGGATATTCCACTTGATGTAAAAGCGATAAGAATACGAAGGTGTCTTTAATTTTATGGCCAGATACAATTTAAAAGGTGGGAACTCCTCAGAAAAAAGAAAGCAGTATCCTTCGTGATAACTTTCAGAAATGAAAAAAGAAAGGCTCTATTGGAAAAAGCTTGGGTAGTACACTTTGAGGAAGGAAAAATGTTAAGAATATCAAAGGGCGATTTTGCAAGAGATATTATCGAAGATAAAGCAGAGTATAAGGCTATAGTCAAGAACATTCCAAAGACAGCGCTAGAAACAATGTTGCTGAAGCAATTGAAAGTAGTTAAAGCACAAGCAGTGTATATATCCCACAATAGCAACAAAAATCAAAAAAGTACAGTATCAGTCTTCTTTGAATCAGAGGAGGATTTGTATATAGCTCTAAGTAAAAGGGTGTATTACTACAATGCAAAATTAGAATGGGTAAGGAGTAAAGAATATGAAAAAAAAATAGTAGTATACATAGAAACGACCTAGCATACATAGAAGAAAAACTACTGTGAAGGGATAGTAAAGTAGAAGAACCCTTAGACACTCTGGGAAAAAAGAAAGTAGACGATTTTGGTGAAAATAAAGAGAATAAAGATCCAACTAAGCAATAGTTTAAACAAAAAAACAATCCCAAGGGTAAACAACTAGAGATGATTGTGCAGGTTGATAAAGAAAAGTCTATAGCAATTAAAGACATGCTAACAAAAATACTAGGCAGACTAGGAAAGATCGAAGCTTAACAAGAAATGAAAAACAAATTCAGAAAAAGGAGCCTGTTCCCTAGACACTCCTAAAAGTTGCCACAGGTGTAACAAGAGAAAAAGGTAGCGAGGCCACTAAGTTCGGAAAAGAAGGTGATGGAAAGAGTAGTAGGGTGGTAATTTTAGAGATACATAATATAAATGGGGTTAAAATGAACAAATATAAAATAGATAGCTTGGTAGATTTTGCAATAAAGAAAAACATAGATATTCTGGGCTTATATAAGATGAATATACAAGATAGAGAGAGTATTTGACAAATTAATAAGGAGGACAAGTATATTGGCTTCTGGGTGTCAGTAGCAGAAGAAAAAAAAAAGAGTTTAGGGATAGCACTTCTAGTACACAAAGGTATCGAAAAATATTTAGCTAGAGTTTTGAAGTAGTCACTATATTTATTAGAAACAACATTTATCTTTAAAGAAAAAGTATAGGTTTTGTTAGTAATTTATATACCACCAAATAATAGTGAAGTTGAAGAAGAAATTTGCCGAAAGGTGATAAAACAAGCAGAACAAAAATACAAGAATAAGGAGACAAAATATATAATAATAAAAGACTTCAATATAGAGTTAGGAAAAATAAATTATAATATAGGGAGAAGAGCTACAACTTTAAATAAAAAACTCTTATCTAGGAACTTATAGATAGAGATTTCAAAAGTGCCTTCAAGAGAGTGAAAGATGGAGGAAAAATAGCTACAAGAAGAGGTGCAGAAAAAGATACAACAATTGATTATATGTGGGTCTTCGATAATTAGTTTGAAGACTTAAGAAAATACAAAGTACAAGAGATAGACCTGGTAACAAAAAGTGATCATTACATGATCATAATATAGTTAGAATGAGAGGATCATAGACGCATACAAAAAAAAGCTCAAAGAAAAAGAGCTAAAACCAAAAAAATATGTATAGACCTCAAAAGAATTGAACTAGACGATTGGGAAGACTTTGTGCAAAAAACAAACGCTTTGATAACGAGCCAGGAATTAAAATGAGTGAAAAGTTTAGAAAAATCAGCTGGCATTTTAAGAGGAGAAGAAAGCCAAGAAGCTTTAGACAAAGAGTGGGATATTATCAAAACTGCAATAAGAAAAGGAGCCAATAAGACTCTTCCAAAAGCAAGACCCATGGTGGAGAAAAATCCTAAAGTAGATAAGAGCCTCTCTCACAAGCTCCGAAAAATCGCTAATGAAGTGAATAAGCTTTGCAGAAAAGCCAAAAAGAAAATGAGGCAGGTAATAACAGAGGAGTTAGTTAAAGCTCTAGAAAATATAAACTTTGTAATTAAAACAAAGTTAGAGGAAGCTCCAGTCATGTGGAGTCGTACATGGTCACGTGATACCTACAAACAACTAGAGCATATTGCAAAGACCGCAAAAAAGGTGTAGAGCAAAACGAAACTAGTAGAAGAAGAGCATAGTATTAAAAAGAAGATAGAAGAAAGATATGAGAATATCTTTTCAAACCAAAAAAGTATGCTAAATAGCATATTAGAAAAACTATACCAGAGAATTAAGTTAGATAGGGTATGTGAGGAAACAGAAGATGATATCTCCTTAGTCAATAGTGAAATAGAAGTTATGGGAAAGGTGAAATCTTTCTTTGAGAAGCAATTTAGAAAGAGAAACATAAATATAGAGTTATTAAGTACATCCTGGGCAAAGCAATATAGTTCTAAAGAGAATATAGATGAGGAATAGTACAAAGAGATATTATATAAAATAACAACAAAAGATTGGAATAAAGCTCTGCAAATAACTTCACCCAGGTTTCTTGGGCATTATATACCCAGTGCTCAACATTGGTACAAAAACGAAAGAAGCTTGTACAAGGCTTCTGTCAAAGTGTATAAAGACTAGGAATATTCTACTAAAATGGAAAATTGGAGTTTTATACCTGATTTCTAAAAAAGAAGATTAAAACTATGATTTGAATAATGTACGGCCTATTATTCTTCTAAAGAATGTCCAGAAAGTGCTAAATAGAGTAATAATGAAAAGGCTAGGACAGATTCTTAAGAAGTACAGCATACTTAAAGGTTCAAACTATGTAGGTCTTACAGATGAAAGCACAAAAGACCCCATATATGGGGTGTCGTAAGTTAAAAGGGCCTATTTTTACATATACTTCATTTTGAGATAATTGAGTTTAAACATTTGTTTTGATTTTCGGACTGATCCGGGATTAATCAAATTTCACGATTTTGATTGGTTAAAAATTACATGTGACTATCGGGTAATCTCGTGATATGCTTGGCCTTAAGCAGCCTCGTGTAATCTTTCTTTTACATTATCTCTATTTTTCATTATGTAAATCGACTTTCATTTATAATTGAAAATTGTCAATCATGCCAAAATTTACACGAATCAAATAAAAACTCAATTTTCGAAAATTTGTAAAAATGGGCCCTTTTAATTGAAGACACTCCATATATCCTAAGCTGTATTGCAGAAAAAGCATGGAAAAAAAAACAAGAGCTGTGGATCCTATTACAGGATATGCAAAAGGCATTTGACTCTGTAAGCATGACATCACTAGAGTTAGCTCTCAAATGAATTAAGATGCTAACAAACATATTATTAGCCTGTATAAATATAGAGAATTAGAAGTGATAATGGTATATAAAAGCACTAGAGTAATTAAAGCAAAAGACAGAATAAACCAGGAGAAAGTGCTATCCCCCCTAATATGGCATATTTTTTATGACCCGCTATTGTGTGAAGTGCAAAGAATTAAAAACTGGGGTTATGAGGTAGCAGTGCCATAGCCCACAGACCTAAGAAAAGGAGAGATTACTTGGATAAAACAAAGACAAGCTATTGTAGCATATGCTAATGACACAACTTGAATTGCAAAATCTAAAACAGAGTTATTAGAAATCCTAAAGAAGGCTAACGAATTCTACAAACTAAATAACATTAAGATAAATGAGAAGAAATCAGAACTTATTGTAATTAATGAAGCCATAAGCCAAGAAGATAAAGAATGCAGTATTATTAGTGAATATGGAGTAGAGATAAAAGCGAAAAGAAATAATGAAGCAGCCAGATTCTTAGGTATGTAGATCTCAGAAAGAAATAAGAGAAATTGTAGTATGGACCTAGTAGAAAAAGAGGTCACAGGGTTAGTAAGAATCTTAAAAAAGAAGAAAGTATTGTTGGAGCACCTGCAGTACATAAACAATAGAGTATTATTACCAAGATTAGAGTATCGACTAAAATGCCAAGTAATAAGCAAGCAAGCTTGTGACAGAATCCATAGACTCTTCCTCAACTTACTCAAACGAAAAGCAGGTTTAGCAAGTACTATGGCTAATAGTATCATTATGCACCCAAATTTGGTAGAGGTGAAAGGCTTGTAGCAAGCAAAGATTGCACAACAAGTTTCTAGTTTAGTTAAAAGACTAAATAATATAGAGTCAGTAAGGAATATAATCTAGATTAGACTAAGACAGATGCAGATCGATAACAGAAGCAGCAGATGCATAATTAAGTGATCTGTTCAATGGCTGAATGAGGCAGAAATAAAGCATAATTTTAATACAAATATAATTAGAGATGCCACAAAAATAGGTATTGAACTAGAATGCAGTGAAGTAACAAGGAGTATGCATTTAGATAAAGGAACATAAATCTGATCTATGTTAAGCAAAATTGAAAGAAAACAGTATATAAAAAGCAAGTTGAACAATATTATATTTATAGAACAATTGCTTGAAGAAGAGAGATCAACACTTTTAACCTGGCACCAAGTAAAATTGCTAAGAGGAAATAAGAGCAAAGGAAAGAAGCCCTCATGGTTTATTAGTATCAAGAATGCGATAATTAATAACCAGATAACACTGGATCAGGAGCGACAAGATCATTAAACGAATCTTCATCATAAGGATAAAGTGGCGATAATTTATAAAGACCGGTACAAACTACTACTGGTTTTGAATGGTGCTTAGCAGCCGTGGCCACCATTTGTGCACCACTAACAGAAATCAATCCTCCATTCGCGAGTACTGAAATTGAATAGTTAATTATAATCAGAATAAATTCTAAGATAATATAAAAATAAGTAAAGTGAATTACCTGCATGTGTACCCATTATCACTTTATTCACTCTGGACATGACAGCAAAGATTGCTGAATCAGAGATTACAGTTGTGTCAATCCCTGCTTCTGACAAAGATAATGCCATCTCATGACCTAGATATCTGATAGTATAGTTTCATGTAAGTAAACGTGATACTATGAATTTGAATAAATTTTAATAAGCATACGTTGGGAATGTTTCTGCAACTAAAACAGAAAATTTTCTTTTCTTCGCAGCAGTTTTCAAAAACATTTCCACAGTTCTTGATCTACCAACAGTCATAATAATCTCACTAAATTGTGCACAAACCATTTAAATGAAGGTGAGTATAGTGTATAGAAATTTAATTATGCTTAAACGAATATTATAGTTTCAAAACATATATGAACCATACTTTGAATGAATATGTTCCATGGCCTGATCTATTATATTTACATACGTATTATCCAATTCATTAATCATCTCTTGTAACTCAGATATGATTAATGGCTTTAGATGTGTTCAAAAGTCAAAGATAATTTTATTTAAAATTCAAAATGATTACATAATTTGACGGATCAAAAGGATATTGGGAGGTTTTCGATCATCATCTATAGACGTCCTTTTGGTACCACCATCCCCAAGTAAGTTTATCATGGAAGAACGATTGTTTGTTCCTGTACCTGATCCACCGTAAAAACTAATAGTTCTTATTTTCTGGGATGATTTTGATTTAATTTCTTCTTCTTTCTCATCATCATCAGTATTTGAGTCTTTATCATCATCTTCAGCAGAAAGATCGTCAAAAGTGGCAACCTCAGAGTTATATACATCACGTATTAAGCGTAATACGCGGCGAACAATATTTCCTACGGCGAGTTCTAAAAAAAAAAAATTAATTAATGTCATTTTTGGAACTTATAATTCAGTTCTTCACGCACCTCGTGGTTGAGCCATAACTAACCTCCTTCCCACATCTTCTTTAACTACTTTTATCAATGTTTCAACCTGATTCCACCGAGTAGCGGAAACTACCTGCCGAAGTAATACAGCTGTTTCAACAGAGACACGCCAGGAGCCTACGACTTGTCTATTTGAGTTGATAGCATAAAAAAGTAAGAGAAAGGCTTATACAAAAATACATAAATTTACTCGAAAAAGTTAAGTACCGTCGGCGAAGACGATTTACAAGGCTCTCTATTTGTGCATTAAGATCGCGTGGACCTGTCATGTTAATATTGTAATGAATGGATGATCTTTCGCTATCTCCATATATACTGACTTAGTCATGGCGAATAGAAACGGCAGTTACATGATTTTTGCCCAATCAGATTGTAAGATCAGGTGTAACGTAAAAGTTACATGAAAATTGTTTTCTTCAAAAATCGGTAATAACTCAAAATTTTGCATATAAAACTGTTTTTTACTTTCTAATAAAAAAAATTCTTTGCAAAATTTTGGTATATAATTTACTTTTTAATACTACCTTTAATACTAACTTTATAGAGAAGGTTGTGTTTTAATTTTTTTTTTTTTTTTGGCAATCCTGCCTTTATTGTATAAGGAATGCATAATCTAAATACATAAGTTTCTTGCTAAAGCCAAAAACCCTTCCTTCTCTTTAATAAAAGCTCACCTGGCTGCTCAGAGGTGCCCAGATGCGATCTGCTGTAGCAACTCTTTTCCTCTCTTATGGCTTTCAACTTGCTGAAAGATTATCCATCAGATCCTTGGACGGTAGTTGCTAGCCTTGTCAAGATTGCATTTAAGTTTTGTAATAGTGTGGTCTATATAGCTCCAACCACTTTGGTTTAATGTTAGTTGTAATTACCTTTCTAACTTCTTTCTTTGTCTTCTCTCACAATTTTCGATCTGCTTCTTCTGCTAAAATTCTTTTAGATCTTGCTTCTTGAGTTTTTCTTTTCTTGGTTTTCTTGTTAGATCACTTCTCTTGTCTTGCTTTCTTTTTTGTAAGTTTGTAATGCCTTTACTTTGCTCGAATTCATTTATAGCTTCACATCTTAGTCACCAGATCACCTCTTGAAAGCGTTTTTGTAACTTGTAGCTGTAACTCTTTTGTAGCTCTTTTAGTAATTTGTTCTCATTTCTAAGCTTTTAGAAGATTCCTCTAATACAGTTAACTTTGTTTTTATAAATAGCCTCTTGAGAATCTCCAATTATTTCTTCTTTTGTAATGCTACATATCTTTCTTTTACTTTTTTTCTGTTCGTTCTTTAATTTTTTTTTTATAGCATCCTCAAATGCTTCACTCTCTATTCTGTTCTACAATTTCTCATATATTTTGCATATAGCTAAGTGATCTAGATCTTCTTTTTTCCAGAAACATGCGATGCAAAAGTCAAACGGGTAGAGGTTTAGATTTTTTCTATAAAGCACCTTCATTGTTGGCAGCAACCTGTTTATACACTTTATCTTAAAAACCCAAATGTGACTATCCTTTAAGCTTCTGCATTTATATTCTACCTTTTTCTTTGCATTCCTCATATTCCTCTCCAGTCTAACTATTTTTTTTCTGAACTACTTTTAATTAAACTATTTATATATTTGCTATTTATCCAACCTATACTATAATATATTTTTGTTATGTTGTTTATCATTTCTCTAATAGGTATATCAACAATATGACTATCCCACCTCGGTACCACCTTCATTAACTTGAACCATTCTACCCTAAAACTACAACACTCCTTAGAACTGTTACCCTCCTTTGCTAGCCTATTAGCTGCCTCATTTAATTTAACCCCACTATGACCTTTCACCTTTATGAAGCTAATATCAATATCCTTAATCTCAATCAAATTTATCACCATTGCAACGATACTCCCATTCTTGAGCTTAGTAGTTTTTGTTTTATTTGGGCTAGCTTTAACCTTTTCAATAACACTGATTGCGTTTGCACTATCTGTAAAAATCTGTATCTTGCATTTGTTCAATACTGCTAATAATGCAAGCCCTATAGTGCCTATTTCTGCTCTTGTTGAAGAGAGCCAATCTTTTATCACACCTGCAAATTGCTCCAGTACTGCTTCTGTGCCCTTTTTTGGCTGCGACCCAACCTATACCCATTTTCTTTGGCTCTCTATTTCCACCATCCTCATCTAAGGAGTCATCTGTAAAGATGTCTAATTCTGCATAACCAACCAGTTTCTGCAGTGACTTCTGGGTTTTCTCTCTATATTTCTGTTTCACTATATATCTGTTAATTAGATCTTCTAGATTCTTGATCATTACTGTAGGGCTTGACAGTGAGATAGATATATTTGTTTGTATGTTGGCTTTTTTTGCTAAAATTTGCTAGAGGCATCTCGCACAGAATTTTATTTTCTCCTTGCTTTTTAATGCGGTTTTCTTTTAATGCTCTTTGTTTATTCTTTAGATTCAAACCTAACTTGTATTCATTGGGCTTCTGCATGTTAGATAAACTACAACCTTGGCATTTGTCATAAAAGGTTTTATTTTCTTTCTCTCTTTTCCAATGTGTTACTTCTATTTTTCAGTTACCTTTAATTTTTTTTAACCACCTAGCCCAATTCTGTTGTATCTTTTTCATTTGATAATACAACCCATTCTGCTTTTCTTTTATCTTCGGATATATGCTGAAATAAGGGCAATAAACTTTCCCTTCTATCCTGTATTTTGTATGTATCTTTCTTGTTATCTGGTTATTAATCACTGCACCCTCGATACTAATAAACCATGAGGGCTTTTTTCCTTTGCCTTTATTTCCTCTTAGAAATTTTACTTGGCGCCAGGTTAAAAGTGTTGATCTCAAGATAAGTATTAATAATATAATATAATTTATTTATTTAATACCAATAAAATAAACCTATCTCATCTATATTGTAAATATCTTTTAAATTATATTCTTTTAAAATTCCTCTTAATCGAGGAATAGCAGTTTTAATAACTGTATTATCTACAGAAATATTCTTTCTATGTTTTACTATTTGTCTCAAGCCATGTCTTTTTTTGAATTTGTCTAGCCAACTATGTAAAAACTTGAAATCACTTTCAGATATATGTAATAACTTAGCAAATTTTTTTTTTCTATTATAATTTTGTCAGATAGTATTATACTTTCTTAACTTTGTAAAATTTATTCGATTAATACATTTTCAAATTCTGGATATTGGACTATTCTTTGTTTTTTTGTAGAAAGGTTTTTATCTATTGTTTCTTTATTTTTTAATAGATAGCTAATAGTACTTTGATGGATTTCAAATCCTATTTTTTGTTTTATCCAATTGACAAAATCAGTTTGGATAATTTGAGAATTTTTTGCTTTATATTTAATAATGGCTTTTCTTTGTTTATTGGTGAAAGTAGTTTAGTTTTTTTGAATTTTGAAGAAAATATTTCTGATTAATGTGATATAGTTTTAGCTTATTAAGAACTTTGTAAGTCAGATAGATACATTTCTCTTTTATTTGCTATTTATTTGCCAACTTAAAATAATCTAAATTATTATTTACAACAATAATATGGGGCAATTGCATTATTATAGAATGCATTAAGATATTTATATCAAAGGGCTTTTTTATAATTTATATGATATTGAAGTCATAATAATTAAGATAAGTTTATATATTGAATATTTTTGAATCTTTTTTTATTATATTTATCAAATTTTAGAATAGTAACAAAAAAAGAATAGGTATATCAATTCTATTTCATATACAATACTTTTTTTTTTTAATTAAGTATGAGAATACTAATTCTGTAATTCGTATTTAATTAGATCCGAAGTCAGGATGACAAAAAAAATTAGACCCAGAACTAGAGTAACAAAAGAAAAATAAAAAAATAAGTATACATCAATTGTATATTAAAAATTTTTTTTTAAACAATCCTGCCTTTATTCATATGAACTGTTATATAATTTTTACACCCAAGTATACAAAATTCTTACAACTTATTGCTCTAATGTAATAAAAACTCACCAAGCATAAATGCCCAATGCAACCTGCTATAACAACTGTTTGTTTACTCAGGAATCATGAACTCACTCATGATTTCATATCCCAAAGAGTACCCCCCTCGATTACAGACTGGCCATTGTATATCTCATCAGGATCACCAACCTTTCTTCCAACTTTTTCTACCAAAATCTGGGCAGAATAACTATCTCCTACTCTTCTATAAGC